TTTTTCGCATGTTTGGCTAGAGAAGTATCAGTTCTTCAGGGAGTAATTTCAAGGCATATTCGATTCAAATGCAAAAACCATTAATGTACTGCATCCATATATACATATATATATACGTTTATGTATATATATATATATGTAAATAGACGAGGAATTCAAGTGAACAAAACTAAAGGGTCTCCGTTATATATACACACACACACACACACACACACACAAGGGGAATCAAAAGCCAAATGAGCACAAAAAGTTAGAGACTTGAAGAAGAGATTATTTGCAGAGGAGAAAGAATTAATTAAACAAGTGAATTACAGTTGGGTTCTCAATCTTGATATGTAAATGAATTGTGGTGTTATTTAATTTTTCTTCACGGAAATCACATGCATGTGACCCATAGCCATATATATATATATATCTATATATACACCTTACATTAATGTATTCAGTACTACATGATCCTCAATTAATGTCTATAAACTTTTGCAATTCAAGTCCCTGGTTTTCCCTCAAATTACTTTCTGAATCATAACCTTCTTTCAACTTTTTCAATTACAGGCTGAAATTTCTCTTTGCCGAGTTTATAAACGAGCCGGGGTCGAAGATCATCCGTCTCTCCCTCGCTACCTTTCGACGACAAGAGCTTCTTCTTCGAGATCAACATCGTTCCAACACGATAAAAAGTATTCTAATAATTCTTCTCATCAATCTCAGAAATTGATTACTAATACGACAATTGATCAAATTGGAGATAATGTCTTCGCCACCACTACTCTTAACGTTCCGAAACACAGTATTTATCGACCAATCGTGGTCCCGATAAGCACTTCTCGTGGGTTATCGTCTTCAATCGATGCAGGAAATCACGAGCATCATGAAGTAGCTGCAACCATGTTTCTTAACCAATCAAATACAGTAGTGGATGATCTCCATAGACTAGTCAACTACCAGCAATCAGCTGCTGCGGCTTCCATGAATCAATTCTATGATGATCATCACCAAAATCATCAGCATCAGCATCAGCAGCAACAGCAGCAGCAGCAGCAGCAGCAGCAGCAGCAGCAGAATTCACAATTTCCACCATTGATTCCTCAGACACAAGCACTGCCGATCACGATGATGCAAGGCTCATTGGCACCGGCAACAGCCTTCTCGGACAGACTCTGGGAGTGGAATCCAATCCCGGAAGCCAATAGAGACTACACCAATCCCTTCAAGTAATTGATCAATTAAATACATATATATATATATATATTAATTTAGTAGTTAGATCTGTAGTAGTTATATTTTTCTGCATGGTTACTACTGATTTTAGTTTTTGGCAGCTGCTTGTTATCTGTCTACTCTAATGTTGTTAACTAGCATATTCAAATATATATATATATATGACTGATCATAATCTGATCATAAAGATCTTTACCTGCTAATATTTGTTTCTTGTTTGCTTGCTAGGGTTTTTTGAATTATAGTTGATTGCATGTAGTGAACCTTAATTTTTCTCAGCTTTCAAACACATCAATTTTTATCTTCAAGAACTTACCTCATGACTTAATTATCTATATAGATATATACACATATACATATATATATATATATCATTCTCTTCTCTATCTTTTTGTTAATTTATCTAAGCCAAATTTCTTTAAAAAATAAAATGATATACAATTTTTAAAGTATGACTTGTTATTATTTTATTAGAGTGAGAAGTCCAAAATAAACTTATGCATATAAGATATATTAGAGTATAAATAATTAACCAGTAATGTTCTATCAACTTAAATTTTTTAAAATAATAAATTCGATCAATATTTCAAAATAATTATCATCGAAATTGGGGTTTAGATGGGGGCCTTGTCCGCCTTGCTCGTGAGAAAATGTCGGAAACATATAAGTATTTATTGACTATTGCAATGTTTTGTCGGCGTATCTTGTACGGTGAATCATGTGAATATTTCGAGCTCCATAAAGCTTGCGATTTATTTTCTTCGTTATTTCAATTTCGCGATGTGCTTTTGGATGGTTTTAATATCCCAAGGTAGTTTTTACTAGCTATCTTATTAATTTTTGAAAATAACACCACAAAATAGCACATAATGTATGTAGCTATATGAGCATATACATATATATATATATATGTGTGTGTGGAGCTTAATGAGAGCAAGATTAAAGAAGGTATACAAGGGACCCATGGTCAAATTCAAGTAAACTTTAAGAAACTAAGATTAGAAAGAGTGACCCCATGTGTTTACTTATTTGGTTGGACCGAAGACTGATTAATCATATCGTCTCATAATATAATATTATACGTATAATTTTTATGTCAAAATTGAAATCTAAGTTTAAATGAAAATATAGATATTTACTGAATTAAAACTTATAGATTCATACTAATTTTGATCTCTCGTGAAAAATATGATATTCTCTCAATTATATATACATACACATTCAAAAAGTATATATCAAATACTCTAACAATTATATATAAGAACTTAAATTATATCGATACGTAGCTATTTTGAATGTATTGATGTGTGTATATCATTTATTATATATCACCTCCAACTTTTTTGCCTTCCCTTCCCTTGGTATTTCCCAAAGAAATAAGTGGTAGTTCCCAAATTGTTAATAATAATATATATACACTATATTGTACACTCACATGAGGTATATAGATACAACAAAAGAGTGTGATTCTATTATGTAGTAATATATATGCCAAGATTATATACAATCTAATTTTCAATTATATGTGTATAAACTTAGTTTGAATACACATATGACTAACTAGTCACACACACATATATATATATATATATATTTATATAGTATAAGAGTTTTAGTTGTGGTTGGAATATAGCCAGCTAGCTAGGTGAGGATCTAGATATAGGGGTGTGGAAGATTGTAAGTTAGTAGGTTGGCAATCATCTAATTATTTAACTGCAAAGTCAGCGAGACCCCGCGTGCGGATTCTTTTTTTATTTTTTTCATACAAAGTTACATATATATATATATATGTATATACATATAGTTGTGGAATATAATTTAGGTAGAGAGGTCCATTGCATGCATGGCAGTAGATATCCCAGTGGCAGTAGCAGTGCCAGTTTGTGTCTCTCTAAGTTGGAACCTATATGCCTACCCATTTATATATGTGCAGGTATATGAACTCTACTGTATATATATATATATAGGTGGCTATACGTATATATTCCTCGGCACACGTTTATCTTTTTCAAGTTTGACATTCTAAAAGAGAAAGGGCTAGAAAAGGTAGAATCTTTTTTAGGTTTAATTTGGTCATGAGGAAGAATTATGTGGATCCAGCTGACATATGCCTGGCTAATCACAGTCCTGCTGAGATAGTTCACATGAAATACTCATCTCACATTACTCCTATATATATATATATATATACACACATAGATACAGATATACATACATACACACGGTTTTAGTACAAATGCAGTAACTACAGCTAGCATTTATAGAAAAAATTATTGTACAACTTAAGGTGATTTATATGAATTGACTCTCTCTCTCTCTCTCTCTCTCTCTCTCTCTCTCTCTCTCTCTCTCTCTCTCTCACTTTCTCTCTCTTTTTCTGTCTCACACAGCTCTATATTTATATGTTATATGATATATATTATATATATTAATGTGATCTGGAACCCATTTGATAATCATGATAGTTATTATTACATGAAGTTAGTGTTGGAGAGAATTATATTTGGAAAAAAAAAAATTATTACATCTCTCTTGTCTCAACTTTTTTTCAATCACAAAGGAGAATTGTTGTTGTATATGTGGAAATAAGTTTTGTAAGTAACTATTAAATCCTAAGTCGATTAAAGAAAAACTGAAATTAAATAAGATAGTATGAAAATCGAGATCAATGTTATAATAAACATTTACGTTAATTTTTATTACAGATAAGAGGCGATATATAAACGTTAATTTGTCAAGAAGGGACTTAATTTTCTCGAGATATTTAGAAATAAAAAGATTGTTATTGTTTAATTCCTGAAGTTCAATGTGAATTTAGAGCTAACAATTCTGAGAAACAGAGACAAGAGTTCGATTGAGTGTGTTCTATACTCTGAATGAAGTTGTGAGCCTAATAATATATAAAAAAAAATCTTTTTTTAATTAACGATGATGAATTCCAAGAGAAAGAATCGTTTGATCCTTACGGAATCATTTAATAGAAACAAGATTAGAAATTTCTTGATCTGAAGGGTTGTTAGAGGGATGGGTTTTGATAGTACTGAATTAGTTCCGTAAATAAATTCGCTCGAACTTCGAAAATTGAGTAAATGAAGAAATTACATCTTACATGCTAAATGGTTCTTTAGGTGTCAGTTTTATAAAGAATAAGTAATGGATATGGGAAGAGGTGGTAGGAAATGAAAACCTAATCGGGCAACGCACTAGTCACCACGATTTTTGTAGACGAAGTTTCTTCTGCCATTTTTGCTCTAATATATATCATGAAAAACTTAATTATTGTCTTTTAGGAGTTTTTTATGAAAAAATTTTTAATGTAATTTTTATTCACGAGTGGATTATATATTTATAGTAAATGATTATACATAGTATGTAAATTTTGTAATGAATATATGATCAAAACAAAAAAAAAATAAGTTTAGTTAAATAGAAAACACAACAAGTGTAAACAAAGTAAAAATTTTATTTCTAATGACTATTTACACTTTCTTCACTCGTGAAAGTGTCAAAAATTATTGTGATCTTCTGCTAAAAATAATGATAAAAACGTCATTGAATCACATTTGTTCTTTGATCCAGTTTAGAACGACTTCAATTCTCTATTCTCTTATACAGTATGATGCATATTCCATCACTAAAAATTAATAGAACTCCTAAAGAATGTCTGAATTGTAAGAGTAGTCTCAATACTTATTCGTTGTACAATAAAACTCTTATGCGCATAACATAAGATCTCATTTTGCTACTCTTCAAATGATTATCATTTTGTCGTTATGGTCATATCTGACTCTTTTTTTTCCGTAAAATAATGATATTTATTACGTTTTAAATATGATTTATATCATAAATTATATCATTTTTAGCTTTTACAATCCGTAACAACTATAATTTAAGAGTTTTAAGGCTTACAAAGTAAAAAGTAAAATATTATCCCTCACGATAGCCATAAAATAATCGGTTTAAAAGGTATTCTTAAAAAAATGAAGAAAAACAAAGGTACGAATATCCATACCCGTTTCTCATTCAACACTAATTCTTCATCAAATTCTCTCGTTTATCTAATTTTCACAACTAATTATTCCTAAACTTTTAATTTTTTTTAAAATAATTATAAATTAGTAATATTAATTTATACAATAGTGATCATATCAAACTCAATTTAACGTATAAACTTATTTTTCGAACCACGTTATATACATACTAGAATATTTATACATACTCGAATTTATTTACTTTTTAGAAATTAAAGAAAGAAGAAAGAAACTATGATGTGTTCGGGCTTTACCTATTCAACCTAAAGAAACTATGATGTGGTCGGGCTTTATCTATTCAACCTAACGTATTAGATTTGAGTTTAAACTATTAGTTAAAGTAATTAATCGAGTCGAATTTTTTTTTTCAAAATCTTCAAAGTTTCGAACTAGTTTTAATTTCGTTGTAATAATATAATAACTAGCCCAACCTAATTAAATTGGGCTAAGTAGGTTTGGGTCATCCATTTGGTCTAATTATTTTATTCAATAATATAAATAATTGCTACAAGAGATATATATATTTTAAAAGATATTTTTAAGATAAAATTAATATGATAATATATTTTTAAAATATAATAAATTATTAAAGTAATTTTCAATATTTAATATTTTAACGGTTCAGCTTTTAAATTTTTTATTATAATTTGATCCCCGACGTTCGTATAAATAATTACAAATAAAAAGAATAATTTATTAATTTTAGTTCATAAATTATGGATTATATTGTAATTTTGTCTTTTTTTTTGTTTTAATTTAGTCTAAAAATTTATAAATTATTTGAAAATATGATTTTTCGTTGAATTTTTTTTTGAAAGTCACAAATTGTTATCATAAAAATTACAAATTAAACTAAATTTAAAAACTTAAAAATATTAATTTTTTTTTAAAAAAAATGATTTTCAAACTCTTTCTAACATAACAAATAATTTAAAAACTAAAAAATAATATTAAAAATTAAAATTAAAATAATAATTTGGAAAATCCCCAAATCATCCCGTTAAACCCAATTCACTAAACTAAAACCCTAACACACGGCCAGCTCCAGTCTCTTCTTCCTCTTGCTCGCAGAGTTTCCCTCTGCATCTCTCTCTGCTTCCCCTGTGGCTTCGTCCTCCTCTGTCAGCAAAGGCTTTAAAGTGTCTCGCGAGCTCGCCTAAACGTCCTCCTAAGTTATTTCGCCTCCTTCTGCGACGTCTCCCTCTTCTACTGTACACAGCTCGGAAGCACCAGCCTCAGTCCGACGACGTCTTCGTCTGGTACATTATTCTTCAATTTTTAAGAATTATTTGTTTAGACGAGTGTTCTAGCTCCATCTGGTACCGAAACTTTATCTGCTTCCTTGGTAGCTATTGTTACTAGTTTCTTTCTCGTTTTTGTTCATTTACGTCTCCGTGCTGCGTCTTTCTTTACTATAACGCAGTAGATTCTAGGAGAAAAGAAATCATAGGAAGGTTACCTCAGTGTATTGAATGCTAACTATTTATAAAGCTTGTGTTGTTATTTACAGAGACTCGGTTAAAATCAAAATAAAGACAAAATGAGGAAGAAAGTAGATGAGCGAATCAGGACTCTGATAGAAAATGGCGTTAAAATGCGACATCGTTCTATGTTCTTGATCATCGGGGACAAGTCCCTTCACCAGGTACTCCTTCTTGACTTTTCTGTTTTTTCGGTAACAAATTTGGTTCTTCTTGGTTTTGTCTGACTTATAATTGTTTTCCCCGAAGCACGACTTGGTTGCTAATGTTAGTTTTGTTTATGTTTTGCAGGTTGTGAATCTTCATTACATGCTGAGCAAGGCAGTGATCAAGTCCAGGCCAACTGTCTTGTGGGCTTACAAGGAAAAACTTGAACTTAGCAGGTTCAACTTTAGTTCTAATCTTCATTTTTTTAAAGTTTCATTTAGTTAGAATAGGTGTTGTCTTCTTATTCATGCACTAAAAGTTTTGTCTTTAAAACCGGAAGTTAAATGATATATGTAAATATACAAGGACATGGAACTGAGTCGGTTACTAACTAAAGCATTAGATGAGTGAAAAGAAAATGTAGAAGTTTCATGCTTTACTGAAATCTCTCATTGATTATAAACTTAGTTAGAGGTGACTATGAAATAAAATATATATAGGTTTACTTTGTTAGATACTGCTTTGTTATTGAATGAACCTCCTGCCTAGACTATAAAAAACATGATGGAAATTGATTATATATATGCAGTCATAAGAAAAAACGTGCGAAGCAAATAAAGAAGTTGACGCAGAGAGGTCTGCTGGATCCAGATAGAGTTGAATCTTTTTCTCTTTTTGTTGAAACTGGGGGATTGACATATTGCTTATACAAAGATTCTGAAAGAATTCTTGGAAATACTTTCGGAATGTGCATATTACAGGTATTATTTCATCTTGAGCTTTGTTATTCACTTAGGCCGGCAGCTTGTATCCATTTTGTTTTCTTTCCGATGTTTTTACTAAGTATTGTGCCATATCTCTCCCAATTTTTGAATCTGCCTTGACATTAGGATTTTGAGGCTTTGACACCAAATCTCCTTGCAAGAACTATAGAAACAGTTGAAGGTGGTGGATTAATCATACTTCTACTTCGTTCTCTCTCCTCGCTTACCAGCCTGTACACCATGGTCATGGTATGCTACATTTTCTGTATTTGCATATTTGTTGAAAGGAGCAAGAGAAATATTGGAAATAGCTATTAAGTTCTCTTTTTATGTTCTTTTGTAATTTGTAATTTTGTTTTACTTTGAAATGCAGAGGTATTCTGATGTTTATAATAGAAAGATAGTACTTTTCAGGAAGTTGACATTTTCCTTGGGCTTGTTTGGGAAAATACTAGAATCACTTATTCTAAAAGGGTTTTAATTATTTTATGAAGATAAGTGAAACATAATACCAGAAAGGTTCATACTTTTTGTGGCCTAACAACCTCAAATTTACCTTATTATCGCCTAATAACGCATGTGTACCCTTTATCTTGCTTATAGCATTGATAACTATTTTATATTCTCTTGAGTAAAATTAATTGGAATATATTTTTTTGACAGTGGTATTTGATTCTGTTATCTCCAATTTGTATGCGGTGTTAGAATATGTTTGAGTTGGTGGTGGTTCAATTAATTCATGCCCTTAATCTTAGTATGGAGGGCTCTTTAGTATCATTACTTTGCCCAGAGGTATATTTGAAATGCTTAATTAATTGTGAGTTCTGTTATAATCTTAACAATTTTCCTCTGGCCCCAAAAGAAGATGAAAAAAGTTTGTAGAGAATATGTGCTGTGTTCATTATTTTATCCCTATTTTAACATTGATCCTCCCTGCCTGCTTGTTGCTGTAAGGTTCATTGTTAATTAATTATCTATTTGGGGATGTCCTGGTAAGAGCTAGGGCCATGACTTGTTCATCTATGGATTATCAATTACTTAACATTGAGGCCCATCACAAAAGGGAAAATAAACTAATGGTAAACTGGTTAATCTCAGGATGTTCATGATAGATTTCGTACTGAATCACATTTTGAAGCTGCTGGGCGCTTTAATGAACGCTTCTTATTATCACTTGCATCAAACAAGGCATGTGTTATCATGGACGATGAGCTAAATATTTTACCAATTTCATCTCACATAAGATCAATCACCCCCGTCCCCGTGAAGGAGGTAATTTTCTGGTTCCTCTAACATTGCAATGAGCAACTAGAGTTTTAGATGCTAAATTCTATTTCTTGCTGTGATTTTATGTGGTAAATCTGGAGGTGCAAGCTGTTTTCTTTATTTTCCTACTCAAGCAAACTGTTTATCAAGTTAATTTATCTAATACTAGTGAAGACTATAAGTAGCTTGTGCAATCAGAACTTAGATATTTGATTTTAAAGTATTCTAACTTTATATACTATTCTCTTTGCTCTGCTGGCTGGTGATGAAAGGATTTGGAGGGGCTTTCAGAAGCTGAACGGGACCTGAAGAATTTGAAAGAACAACTGAATGATGATTTTCCTGCTGGTCCATTGATTAACAAGTGTTGTACGCTGGATCAGGTAGAAGCTGAAAATGTGTGCCTTTTATTTTATTCTTGCGGCTGATAAACACCAATGCCTTATAAAGTGTTCTGTGGAAATGAGATAATATTTTCTTGTCTGAGCAGGGAAAAGCTGTCATTACTTTTCTTGATGCAATTCTGGATAAGACTTTACGCAGCACTGTTGCTTTGCTTGCTGCACGTGGCCGTGGAAAATCAGCTGCACTTGGTCTAGCAATTGCTGGTGCTGTTGCTTCTGGGTAACGTGCTTGATTCATTGTACCTTTGTTTGATCTCTTATAATTTTGACTGTTTACTCTCATGTTAACCTTATTAAACTCTGTTATTATTCTCATACAGGTATTCTAATATTTTTGTAACTGCACCAAGTCCAGAGAATTTGAAAACCTTGTTTGAATTTGTATGCAAGGGTTTTGATGCTATTGAATATAAGGTTCAGTTGCTCTCTCTTTCTCTCATTATCTTCTGCCTGGACATGTTTTTGGTTTTATATTTTTGAATATAACATGTTTTTGGTTCAATTTGGTTCTATTCTTATGAAATCTGTGTTGGTTGTGCAGGGGTGATCCTGTGATTTTACAGTAGAATCATAGTAATGGTTAAAAATTAATTTTGTTTTACGGCATCTTGACTCAATGATTTGGTGATGGACGTAGGTGATTCCCATGATTCTGTGCCAATTTATTTGTTGTGCTTGGGCAATTTGACTCTGGAAAAAGTAAACCTCAACTGTCTACTTATAAGCCATTAAATTTATCTTTCCACTATGTAATGGTGAATAAAATTCTTTTTTTTTTTCCTAATAGAAACGAGATACTAATAAGAAAGGAAGGAGAAGACAAAGAATGGACGATAAGGTATCCACATAAAAGGAAACAAAGGAGGAAAAAGAAATGTCTGATTTTAATCTGAATTAAAAGTGGGGGGTCGGGATGATTATAAACAGTGGACGATGGAGAAATATGGGATTTTTCTGTGAAATCCCTATATTGTTACCTTCAGGGTGGAAAGGTGAATGCAGATTCTGTGTTTTTGTTTAAACAAGTATGGAAGACTAAAGCACCTCCAAGATTGGCTTTTTTTGTATGGGAAGCGTGCAGAGGAAATGTTTTAACAATAGATATGCTCATGAGGAGGGGGAGATGCTTGGTGAATAGATGTTATATGTGCAAATGTTATGATGAATCTTGTAACCATATATTATTGTGGTGTCCTCCGGTTTCTGATCTATGGACTTCCATTTATGGAATGTTGGGAATCAAATGGGTTATAACGGGGTCGGTTAAGGATGAATTGTGGGCTTGAGCTAGATTGTGTGAGAAGAACAAATATTTAATGCTGATTCCCATTATCTCTATTGTGGGTTGTGTGGAAAGAGAGAAATTCAAGAGATTTTGAGGGGATAGAAAATGATTTTAACAGCATCAAGAATAGATGGTTTCATCTTTTTGGTTCTTTATTCTTGGGACATGATATTCAGGATCTTGAGGATTTTGGGATGGTTTTAGATTATTTGATTGAGCTGTAACTGTTGTATATTGGGTGGTACCCCCTTGGTACCTTTAGAATGATATCTCTTTTCATTTAAAAAAAAATGTAAGATAGCCCCCTTATTCCTTCTTTGAAAGAAAACTTGGCCTTAGCCCAAATAAAGGCCACAGAAAGCCTTCTGTCCCAAATAGATAAATATGGATTTGTTTTTTCTACATAGTCATTCTTGCGTTATTTATAGTTTTTTAAAATTTTCTAAGTGAGAGATATCAATGGATTACCACCCTGTTTGCGTTCAAATAATTCATTTTAAACTTCTTATTGCAACCTCCATATCCAGGAACATCTTGATTATGATATTGTGAAGAGTGTAAATCCCGAGTTCAAGAAAGCACCTGTGCGGATCAATATTTACAAGCATCACAGACAAACAATTCAGGTTAAGTATATGTATTATGTCACCACTTGTTTAGTCCTACAATGATGCCACAGTTTCTGCTGTGTGAGATTAGTTCTATTATTCTCCTTAGTTTCTCATAAATCTTGTCTTTATCTTATGAACAAATTCTTACAGTACATACAGCCACATGAACATGAAAAGCTCTCCCAAGTCGAGTTGCTAGTCGTTGATGAAGCAGCAGCTATTCCATTACCAGTTGTGAAGTCTTTGCTTGGTCCTTATTTGGTGTTTCTTTCATCTACCGTCAATGGGTAAGCAAGTTTGTTCTAGTATTAACTGTTGGGTTATTTCTTTCTACAACTATAAACATGCTCCCTGCCACTTTCTCAAGTTCGGAGGTAAATCATGATTTAATACAAGACTCATAATTTTATTTCTTCTATGGAAAGCTATGAAGGTACTGGCCGATCTTTATCCCTAAAACTTCTGCAGCAACTGGAACAGCAAAGTCAGATGGCTGCGAAGGGTGCAGAGGACAGTCTTTCTGGTATATATGAGCTTCACTCTATTAGCTATATGTACAGATATTATGCCTGCAGAACTTTTGCTGTCAGTGGCCTTTTCTACTGATTGCATTTAGAAGTACTATTGTGCATGCCAAAATATGTTTTTAATCTGATTTCTTGAGATCTTAGTTGCTTTGGGAAATACTAGTCAGGTGAACCAAATTTTCCACTCGCATGAACCCTGCTTTATCTTGGGGAAGGAGAAGAAAATGGAATAATTCAAGGCCATAAGGGCAGATTGGAGTCTTTGCTTGAGGGATATGTCTCTTGTTGGTTGTTGTATGGGGTCCCATTTTCTTGTCTCTTTTTCCTGTAGTGGGTAGCGGAGCAAAGAAACATGAGTCTCTCCAATGCAGAGTTTTGCAGGTTAATGGTGAGGAATAAAGAAAATATTAAATGGTGAAGCCATTGAATCAGCAAGAATTAAGCAATAATCTTGGAAGTATGAGGATAGGTGAAGCAATTGAATTAGCAAAAAAGATCATGAAAGATGTTATGATTTTTGATAGGACAAATTAGGCTAATTTGCTTGCTTAGAAATTTGGGAGAAACCTAATATCACATATAGAGTTTTTAGGTATTATGCCTAAAATTTGATAGAATAGTAAGAAATTCTCAAAATTCTTATTGAATTAATCATGATCTCAAAGAGGTTATTCATGTCTTTATAGGGGGTCAAATAAGCCTTTACTGAATAATGGAAAACTAATGAAGGTTATGAATGCTGCTTCTAATAAAAAAGGAAATACTAATACTAAAAGGATTGGTAAAAGAAAACATAAATAAAACAGAAAACATACAAATAACCTAAGTGAAACTAACATTATTTCTATCAAGGACAAATGGCTGCACTTTTTTGGTTCCATTTTTCTTGGTCATAACCTTGTCTCTTTTGATGATCTGCGTTATATTGTTGATATTTTTACCGACCTGTAAATTCCTTTTGTACACGGGTTCGCCCCCTTGGCGTCTCTTTAATATATCGTCTTACTTTTATCTCAAAAAATAAAAATAACCTAAGTAAATTACTACTATGTCTATATGCCATTAGTTCGTCCTGAGTGAGAAAAACTCGACTCTAGTCGAGTTGAAATCATAAAATGTAACATGCATGGAAAGCTTGATCCTTTTGAGGTTAGTTTCTGTGATCCAAGTACAATCAACTTTAAGACGCCCTTCCATTTTACTAGAAAGTTGTGATAAGTACCACTCTCATTATAGCTACTCTAATAGTCAACAATATCTTCTATCTCGTTCTGAGGTTTGTAGTGATTGTTAAGCGACGAGGAATATGATTATGAGAAACAGTAGCTTCAATTCCTTGATATGAGGTTATATCTTCAACATTGAAAACCTTATGCTCATATCTTTCCACAAGTCAAGAACATAAGCATTTGAGCTCATCTTCTTGAGAATTTTCCTAGGCATGGTTTAATGGAGTTTCTCGTAATCTCCCTTAAGAAACATTCTAGGTTTGATGCGTACCATTATCATATCTCTCTCATTTAAGTCAGCAAGTCTTTTTTTATTTTAAGTTGGCAAAGGTCGTCACTTAAAGCACTTCACGTCTAATATTTACATGTATCTCATGTATGTCAGTGTACCCGGTGGAAATTTGGTAGAGGTAATAAGATCAGATTTTAGCTTGATGATTGGCTTGATGATGGCTGTCTTATGAGAAGATTTTCGAGGATTTATGGCATTGCTCAGTCCAAGAACATGCTGGTTGAATGGTCCATCAATGTATCAAGAAATTTGAATGATTGGGAAATCAGTGAATATGAAGACATGCTAAAGACTTTAGCTTCACAGCAGGTTAAGCCTTCGACTGATCAAATCATCTGGAATTTGGAGGAGAAGGAAGTTTTCACTGTCAGCTCTTATTACAGATTTTTGGTTAATGGTGCTGCAGAAGGTTTTCAAAATTTCCCTTGTAAGCAAATCTAGAAAACCAAGGCTCCCCCGCGTGTTGTGTTTTTTGCGTGGGAGGCTTGCTGGGAGAAAATACTAACCATTGACAAACTTAGATACAAAGGTCAGATTCTAATCAATGGTTGTTATCTCTATTTGAAGGCTGAGGAATCCCGCAATCACCTACTGCTGTGGTGTCCTACTGCATACAGTCTATGGTACACGGTTTATGGTCTTCTAGGGATTAATTGAGTAATAGTGGGTCCTGTTTGTGGAGAAATTTGGGCTTGGGTGGGATTAAGTATAAAAAGAAATATAGCAAATTTAATTCCATTGAATGTTTTTTTGGTTCTTTGGAAAGAGAGAAATGATAGAGCATTTGATAGTAAAGCGAGTGGGTTGTATAGATTAAGAGATAGATGGATTTACTATTTTGGGATCACCTTGTTAGTTCATGACATTATTACAGATAAGGTTTTTGAGAATGTCATTGATACACTAACTCTTTTGTAAATCTTTTGTACATGGGTGGTACCCCCGTTTTGGTACCTTGTTAATACATACATTATACTTTTTATCTCCCAAAAAAATGTCATGTATATATTTAGCAAAATCTTTTACCTCAATGCTAGGACAAATATCTAGTGGTAAAGGAACCAAATCAATAGACTTTTTTTTTTTTTTTTTGGGAAATATAAAGGGTGAAAATCATTTCTTAACAAAAGGTATAACCGTTTCTTTTTAGCTTGGCCACTAGTTGCAAGTTTTTTAATCTTCCCAACTTTAAAGTTTTTGATATCTTTTGTACTCATGAGTTGCAAGAGAATGTTTCTTTTTCCATATAAAAGGAATGTGTTTTCTCTTCCAGTGTAGTGTACATTCAATCATGTAGCTAAGGACGAACAAGAAGAATATGAATCACGCATGGGAATGACATAACACGAATGGTGTCTATATATTTACCACTATGGAAAGAAACAAGGCATTGTTAAAGTTACCACAATTATTGTGTTATCAATCCATGCTATTTTGTATGGGTGGGAAGTTTGAGGCACTCTACGGTTGAGGTGGACGCTACATTCATGGAACTTCCACCATGGATGACAAGCTTTTTGGCTTTAGGCCCACAAATTAGAGAGTTCTGTAATATGTAGTGCAACGCCAATCACCTTCCTCAACCTTAGGTGTTGCAAGGATATGCTTGACTACAGACACAAGGGAAGTTTCGTGGCAGCAGTTATCATAAACTAAGGCATCATCATCAAAGGAAGCGTCATCATTCTTATTTGTTAATTTTCCTTCTTCTTCTTCTTCGATTCCAATATGGAAGTTGTTTTTCTTATGCATTGATACCTGCATGCATGGCTTTCCACACTTGAAGGAGGCTATTTCCTCACCTCTAGTATTAGGTGTGTTGGAAGCTGATTTTGCCACAATAGCCCTACTTGGAGCTTGTTGTATATTACCTACTAGTGCAATCATTTGAACAAAGTTGCTGGCTGATTATCATCTTCTACCAACTTGCTCCTTTAATTCTGTAAACTTTTGTGTGTACTCAGTTATTGATATACTGCATTGAGTTAAAATATAAGTTTGGTCATGAAGTTTGTCAAAGTAGGTGGGAAGTAAATATTTTTCACGAAGAATGACTTCCATCTCATCCTATATTTCAATTGTTGGTTGTCTCATTTTTATATTCTCATCAATGCTATACCACCAAGTTTTTGCAGGTCCTACCAAAATCCTCTTGGCAAATTGAACTCATCTGACATAACATACTGATTTTCTTCCATTGAGTTAAGTAAATCGGAGAAGAAATCAGGATCTCTTGTTCCACCAAAATTAGGAGCTTCCATCTTTACCTTCATGGAATGAGATGGTAAAATTACTCTAGGGTCCAAAAAAAGATGAGCCTCCCTTGTTCCCTTTTCTATATTCTGTCATTTTTGAAAGGAAGAAGTAGGAGAGCACTTGAAAGTTCTTTCTCCTCCTTTGTTGACATAAGAGATCATTGCTTGCGGATTTTGAGTATATTGCTCAAAAGCATACCTTTCAAGATGGATTTGATATTGTAGACCTTTTGGATATGCTGTATCTGTGAGATGTTTGAATATCTATATTTTACCACATGGTGGCAAGATGAAATTATTTGAAGTTGCTTACTGAATTTCAGTGGGTTGGAGTGGAATTCTCCCAAGCAAATTGGATTAACTTGTCTTCTTCTCTCCATGGGGTTGGTAGGAAGAAGTAGATATGGGTTGATGGGGCTACTTCTATTGGGCTGTGAATGATCTGATTGGATAGAAATGGGAGGATTTTCATGATAACAAAATCTCATTTTCTCTTTTTGGGATGAGGTGTTTCTTTGGTGTCCTTTAGGGTAAAGGCACGCGGTATTTTAAATATTATCTTTGTCTATTTTGCACAGAGATTTTCCGACTATCATCTTTTGAATATAGTTGGGTTTTTTTTTCTTTTTTTTCGTTCTCTTTCTTCAAGGAGGATAACTGGTCCTTCATGACATTAGGGAGCTTGATGATTTTGGGGGTGTTTTTGACCATTTGATTGATATGTAGTTATCTTATATATTGGGAATACCCCCTTGGTACAATGTTAATAATACTTTACTTTAACTTTTATTTTTAAAAAAAAAAGATGATAACTGGTCCTCTTAGTTTTATTTCTTTTTCGTTCCAATATGCCTTTTTTCTGTATAAAAATCCGAGAACTTTTTTTTGTGCTATTGATTCCTGTTCTTTGCTTGAAATTTTTTAGGACAGTAGGTATGAAGATTGTCTTGCATTTTAATTTCCATGTCTTCAACTCATGCAGGCATAAGGTGTATTTAAATATTGTTAATGTACTTTTCCTTTGGAAATTTGCTTAGTGCTTGGTTATCTTTGATTGCAGGTCGCCTTTTTAAAAAGATAGAACTTAATGAATCTATTAGATATGCTTCTGGTGATCCGATAGAATCCTGGCTTAATTCTTTACTTTGTCTGGATGTTACAAATTCTGTGCCTACTATCAGCAGGTACCAAACGTTTATACTTTTGGTTGCCGAACAATTTTCTTACATTTTTACTGATTCCCACTCCTTTTGTCTGTAGATTACCGCCACCAAGTGAATGTGATCTCTATTATGTCAATCGGGATACACTCTTTTCCTATCACAAAGATAGTGAGTTGTTTTTGCAGGTAATTTAAATCTTTGTGAAGCAGATATGTATTTTTCTGTTATTTCTTATCATCAAGCGACAAACTTTTGGAAAGATATTCAAGCATATTTATCTTGCAGCGGATGATGGCTCTATATGTCTCCTCACACTACAAAAATTCTCCTAATGATCTACAATTATTGGCTGATGCTCCGGCTCACCATTTGTTCGTGTTGCTGGGTATTACCTTTTTCATTAGAAAGGAATTTTACATATCTACTGGAGTTTGAGAATGATTTCAATTAATTTTGTTGATGCAGGTCCTGTTGATGAGTCCAAAAATCAGCTTCCTGATATTTTGTGTGTTATCCAGGTCTTAATCTTTACTGTTTGGGACTCAATTAGCAACTATTTTTGCCATTTCTGTTCTGTTACAGTCTAACTAGCATGATTTTATGTAGTAAGTTGATTCATCTATAATCTATTTTTCTCAGGAATGTCAATAAAAGTGAATTCAACCAGCTGTAAATTTGAGGATTGATAAAAACAACGAAATGTTTATGATAGAGAATGGATATGAACTAAATAGATTAGTGATTGAAAATTTTGTATCTTTAAAACTAATCTACAGATTATTGTTCTAAGATTAAGGTTTTATTAGTTTATTTACAAACTTAATTATTTAGGATCTAATTTATGTTTTTTGTTGTGATAATATTCTTAATAATAATGTTAATATTAATATTTCTTAGTCTAATCCTATTTTGGGAGGATCACTTTTGAGAGTGTAATACCTAAGTATTACCTTGCATAATCTCACTTTTGAGAGAAGCCCAATTATTCAATAATGACATTCTGGGAAATTTTTTCCTATTTTTGTGGTTGCATGATGTAATCTAATTCTTAAGTATGATGTCTAGAAATTTCTAGGTGTGGTATCTCAGTGACCTCAGGTGTGATATCTAGGTTTTATCAGACAGATTAACTTTATCCTACTTTTTTAAGCGTTAGAGCTTAAATGTTCCTGTGAATGCTCACAAATTCACGCCCAAACAGTTGTAACCATCGGAAATGATAAGAACCCACATTGGAAAGCGTAAAAGCTAGCTCACTGATGCCTGCTGAAGATCACCACAACCAGTAGAAGGTGATCCTTGACACCACAAAAACTGGTTCAGACAAGTCCAAACAGCCCATACCTGAATCCCTACCACTAAATCCACCAAAAAATGTGCCACTCGCAGTGAAGAGCCCAAATTGTTGCTGCCTCACCATATCGCCCCCTTGTGGCCAAAATCTGTTTCATGCACATGACCCGTGAATGGACGTTGTCAAATTTATCATGCTTTGACCTTTTCCGCAATAGGTTTGAGTAGATTAGTTCTACTAGATTGGTTTTACCTCTTCCAATCTGGTTTTTCAATGGTTAAGACTTGTTTTCAAGTAATTTTGAGGCAATCCTTTTATTTTAGTTGTTAGTTCCGTCAACTTTGCTCTAGCATCCTCTTTTCAAAAACTTTGAGTGTGCGGAACTTTTTTTTTTTTGGACATGAGTTAGTGGAATATTAGGGAAGAGAATGATCCATCACTTACAGATGGTAGACACAATAATTCTTTGTTGGTTGCAATCATGCACAAACGAGCAGTTGAAGTGGTGGAACGATGGAAAAGGAGGTCACTATAAGTAACTTATGTAATCTCACTTTTGACAGAAGCCCAATTGTTCAATAAAGAGTCTTTAGAATTCTCTGAATATTTTATAATTTGTGATGCAATCATACTTGTTAAGTATGATGCTTGAGACCTTTTATGTATAACATTTAAAAGACTCTAGATGTGATATCTAAGCTATATTTTCAACTTAAGACTAATTTGTCCTGCATAAATTCATCTTTGTAAAGTTTCTATTGTTTGAAAATGCTTATTTGAATTCCCTAGTTTCTAGCTACCGGTAAAGTTCATGAATTTCATTGTATGTCAGCAGGAGATGCATTCACTCTATGGAAATTTTTCTGTAATTACTGTAAGTATTAGTTCTATGGTTCTTAATATTGTTATTTAATTTGTTAGTTTGTTCACAGGTCTGTTTTGAAGGGCAGATATCTCGTAAATCTGCAATTAAAAGTTTGAGTGATGGCCATCAACCTTTTGGAGACCAAATACCTTGGAAATTTTGTGAACAATTTCGGGATACAGTTTTTCCCAGTCTTTCAGGTGCTCGCATTGTACGTATTGCCACCCATCCTAGCGCTATGAGGGTAATTCTCTAGTTTACAGATGCCTAATTCTGTTTGTTGACCTAGATTCTTGTAAAACCTTTTTAACTGCCTTTCAATCGGGTTTACTTCAGCTTGGATATGGCTCTGCTGCAGTTGAACTTTTGACAAGGTATGTGCATCTTTGACACAATGCTAATAGTAAATTTTAACAAACTTCCTTTCAAAATTAAAATTAATTATAGATAGAATGGAGGGGGTAGGTATCCAAGTATAAGAAAGACTCCGCGAAAAACATCTTCTTTGTTGGAACATAAAACATATTGATTACTTGCTTTAACATGAATATTGATATCTTCTTGTAGCTACAAAATGAATTTGAATCCTGCATCTTTTGTCATAGGAAAAGAATAAGAACTAATAGATATTACGTATGTTCCAAATAATGAACTAGAATGAACTTTGGGCTTGGGATGGGGTTTGTAAGAATTTGAAAATTGTAAAGGTCATTCCTAACTATTTTTGGGGTGGTGTAGAAAGAGAGGAACAACAAAGCGTTCGATGGGTGTATGGGGAATTTGGACAGAATTAGGAATTGGTTGCTACATACTTTTGGGACCCTAATTCTGGGGCATGATTTATATACGTGGGATGATTTTGGGAAGGTTTTTGATGCTTTAACAAACATGTCAACATCCTCTTGTGTCTTATACTTAATATGCATTCTTTTTCTCTGAAAAAAAAAGTCCC